TTGTCCTGGGAATAAAGTAAACTAAGGTAGATCCTATCCTCAAGAAAGAGAGAATGCCAAGAAAATGTGTTTTATCTGTTATGGTAAAAGTATGAATAGAAAGTTAGGATTGAGATCATTGTCAGAATTCACTAGTAGATGATGTTTACCTGTATCTTAAATTATAAATAGTGCATCATGTAGAGAAAGATGGGGTAATGGACACTTCTGTTGGAGAAATTAAGATGAGATGTGGAGTTGTGATATAGCACGATGGCTCAGAGACTATAGGTAGTTACACTTAACATTTGCAGGTGTATGAGAGGAGTCCAGAGCAGTGATTTCCAAGCATTCCTGTGCATTTGAAACATTTGAGGATTTGTTAACAATTTTCTATGTCTTTCTCAGTTTCTCATTTGGTAGGTCTGAGGTCGCACCACGGAAGTTGCATTTCTATCAAGTTCCCAGGAATGCTACGCTACTGAACTAGGACTCCCATATAACAGAGGAAAACATAATTTTCTGTGTCCTTTTTGACACAGATTAAGAAGAATGAAACAAACCAAAGTGTAGTAACATGTATACTCTATGTATACATGAGCAATATGTAGCGTAAGAAGTAAATCTCAAAGAGTTGGCTTTGAACTCAAACAAAAGTGGGAGGTAGGGATGGCCAGAGAGGTTGATTCCAAGACTTTTTCCACACTTTGTCAAAGCACACTTTGGAGTATCATTGTTCTCTGCTCCCAAACAACATAATAAGGCTTTAGGTGTTTGCACTTCAAGACATAGAACCATGTTTTTCTTTTCTATAGCTTACTATTTTTTTATTTTTTATATTTCTGACAACATTCCAGCCATATCTGTGCATATAGATCTGTTTCATTCCTTTCACAGCTGTGTGCATTAGTACTTTTTAATGAATATGAAGCAGTTTATCCATTTTCTGGTGACTTTCCCTGGACTTCCTGTACGTGTGTCTTTTCATACTTGTGCAGTTGTGCCTATAAGAAAGATCCTTACAGTGCAGTTGCTGGGCTCATGGTTTTATAAATGATTAACAGTCCTACTGTTCTGTTTTCTCAAGGGTGTTATCAAATCACTAGAAACTTGATGGCTTAAGATAACAGACACTTCCTACACTTCTGGAGGCCAACAAGCTATTTAAAAGTACCTCTGAAAGTGGTTTTGTGGGAGACTGCCCAGGCCTCTTCTGGCACCTGGTGAAAGTTACCATGCCTTGGTGTTCTGTGGTTTGTGGTTACTTCACATCCTGCTCTGTTGCCATCTTCACTTCAGCATCTTCTTTCTGTGCCTCTCAACTGTGTGTCTGTCTATAAATCCTTTCTCCTTCTTGCTGTTATAAGGGTACATGTAATTGAATTAAGGGCTCACCTGAGCATAATATTTTCTTTCAAGATCCTTTGCTTAATTCCATCTTTTGCAGTTGAAGGTAATATTACAGGTTCTGGGTATTAGGACATGGGCGTATAGCTACCATTTCAGCTACTGTAATTGTTTTTACACAATTTTAAAATTATGATATTAGAGGGGGATAGTTTGGTAGATAATGTTTATCTCCAATTCTTCATAATTACTGGTTGATTTTTTTTCCTAATTTGCCCATTCTAACAGTATCTATAGGTAGTTTGCTCTTTATTATCAACTAGTGTTCTCCAAATCATTTTAAATACAGCAATAATTTACATGTAAAAATAGTTCTTGTGTTACTAAGATTTTGTGCATCATGAACTATTGAGTTCTTTCTGGTCTAGATCTCAAAGAAGGTTAGACAATAGAATTTAATAAATGGCCTACTGTGAAGAATAATATAGCCTCTTAGCCTTAGACTGCAATTTTAATTCAGTCACATGTTGGAAAACAAGAGATTTGGCTCAATTTCATTTCTGTTATAAAATTGGGCTAGAGGTCACCTAAACTTATATACTCTACATTAATTTGACACTACCATATTCATTTGTATAAGAAAGAGAAAATAGCAAAAAGATCAGTCAGTTATTCCTTGAGGAATATGCTAATTAATTTATGTACAATCATAGGTCATTGTATAGGTAGGATTGAAGGAAAATTCATGCTTTAATGATAGTCTGTCTAGAGAAATTTATGGTGAAGTCGATATTTTCTTAACCCCCTATTGATTTAATCTGGGACTTTGTTTGCTGAGTACATTATTCCTGGACCATATTTGGAAAGATAAACTGGGTCCTGTAAACTGTTGATAAGGCTTTGTAGATTAATGCATCCTGGTTTAGGTTGGGGAATTTGAAGCCAAGGTCATTCACAAAATTTATAAACATTTCAATATTCAGTGCAACTGAATCAGAGAATCCTGAATGAGAGAATCTAATACTAGAGCCTACCCATTGACCATCACTACTAGTTTTATTACCAGTGTCCTACATCTGGCAGAGTTCCAGGGCTTCAATACGTGCCTCACTACATATGTTGCTGAAAATCATTTGAAATATTCAAATGTTTTCAGTAGCTCTGGAGTCATTATTTTGTTAATGGTAACAATATATTGTATTGTACAAACTCAAAAGTATTATAGAAAGCACAGATATAAGTAAGTTGGAACAAAAATAAATTTTAAAATACTAAAACATAGTTGTAGTTTTTGAATTCCAAAGAAATTTTGAAAGTCACCAGAGAAATAAAATTGAAGGAGCAGCCTCCAAGTTGGTATTTTAAAGTGGAATCAGCAACAATGGCTCTAATAAAAAGGTATAAGTTAATCATAGTACTAGTTTGGTCGCCTGCTGGACAATACATGTTGGAAAACTTTGTAATTCTGATCCTTTATCTTTTCATCTATGAAATTTTGACTCAAAATATCAGTTTCTGTGAGTTCATGGAATTATCAAAATCAATTATTGAATCCTTAGAAAAAAAGAGAATTTAAAACATTTTTTCATGTACTCTGTGATAATAAAGATTATAATAAAACATGGCATAATGAGGACTGCTAAGAATGAAAGTTAGCAGATATCACACCCTTGGGCTGGAAATTTAACTCAATGGCACCCTGGTACCAAAAAACAAACAAACAGATATCACATCCCAACTGCTAGCTATGGTATTTGGCATTGCTTTGGTATCCAATAATAAGTTTGTGCCTACTTCAACTCCAGGAAGTAGTCCCCCAAATAGTTAAAGTAAAAGAAAGCCTTCCTATTTGCTTAAGAATTGTTCTCTTACTGCCTTTTTAATCAGACCCACAAATTCTAAAATACTACTTTTCATTTTTAAAACTAAAGACCAATTTATGCATCATATATCTGGATAAGTTTGTCTGAAATACACTGTGATAGTTTAATGTAGAGAAAGGGCTATAACATAGATTAAAGTAGATGTAACTATCAAGCAAGGGGTTTCTGGATTATTGTCTGATTTGCTGAAAGGAACCTAGGATGTGAGTTTGTCTTTCTGGAAAAAAATGGGCCAGTCATGTTAAGGCAGTATAAAATTTCATAGAAATTTTGGCAAGCATGTACAATCTGGACTTCTCAAGGTGTTCTTTGTCCTGGTCCCTAAGCTGATGTGTATAAGCAGAAATATAGTTAATGACAGACCGCAGGGTCAGAGCCCGATATTTATTTATATATGCCTTGGGCTTTCCTTTGAGGCTTTGCTCTGAACTTCGAAGTTCACTCTGCTGCAGGAAATGAAATATAAAAGTTTTCTACCTTTGTGTAGACTGCTTACTGGGGTGAGATGGAGCTACATTCTTGAATTACCTAGATTTAAAAAGCTTCAGAGTAGCTGATGTGTGCCTATTCTTGATATTCTTAGACCCAGAAGACCAATTTGGTGTGAACTCTTCATTCTTAGCAGAAGTTAAACCTTGAATATCATTTTTGTCAATTTCTCAGACTGTATCTGTGGTTTTTAGCTCCTTCAATCATCTTTAGACTCCACTGTCAACTTTTCACCAACTTTTGCATTTAGATCACACTTTCTTCATCCTTTCCTACAAACTTGCTTTGACCTGGTGTTTGTATTGTCTTTATTTAGCGCGCTCATTCTCCTGCCCTCCCCTCCCCTCTCCTCCCCTCCTCTTCCCTTTCCTTTCCAATCCTTCCCTTCCCTTCCCTTCTTCCTTCCTTCCTTCCTTCCTTCCTTCTCTCTCACTCCATCTCCCTCTCTCCCTTCTTCCCTCCCTGTTTCATTCCCTCCCTGTTTCATTCCCTCCCTCTTTGCTTTTCTTTCTTTCTCCGTTTCCTGCTCTTTGCTCCCCTCTCTCTGTCTTTCCTTCTTTCCTTCCCCCCTCTCTTCCCTCCTGCTTTCCTCCCTTCCTTTCTGGTATTGAACCTAGTGAACCATATTTCCAGGCATTCTTTTTTTTGACTGCATCTCTAAATCAGTAAGTTGCTCAGGCCACATTTATTTTGAGATCCTCCTATTTCAGCTTGCCAGAATTCTGAGATTACAAGCATGCCCCACCATGCCCCACCATGCCTGACTTCATTCAGCACTTTAAAATAGGTGGCCCTGGTTATAAGAAATACTGAATTCAAATCCAGCCTGGGCAACTTAGTCACTTAGCAAGACCCTGTCTCCAGTTAAATCCCCAGTACCAACAAGAAACGCCCCAAACAAACAAAAAAAACGAACATTTCCATTATTTCTATATCAGTGGATGTTTATTTAATTGACTTCTAGAGCACATTATTTAAAAGGGTATAGAGAATTATTTGGGTGACAACTAATGAATGCCAATAAATTCTGTCTCATGGTAGATATATAATTTACTTATTTATTTTCCTTAAAAGTAAGATTATTTGTCTTATTTTTCATTTTTTTCTTATGGACACATTTGGTCATTTTGGTCATACCTTAGTTTTATTAAAGGATTGACAAATATAACTATATATATTCACTCGATTTTGTTAAGTTTTTAAAGATGTTCGCAATTATTGGGATTCGTTAAAGCAAGTGGCTCTAATGAGGTTTGAAATTCAATTATACATGTAACACTTGCTTTTCTGATTTTTTTTTAGGTAATCCAGAGTCTGCTTTACTCTTTTCTTTGTATTGCCTTCACACATTGCACCTCAGTGTAAAGTGGCTAGGCTTGAAGAGTCCACATACAACCCTTAGAAAGCTATTCAAGGGGGCACTGTCAACAGGTAAAACAAGTAAAGCTAAAAGTGTCCTACTATGTATCAATAATTATATTGAGAATTGGGATATAATGACCTTGTTACTTTAGACTCTGATGGGAAAGACTTATATTGAATAAATTATTAGAAATGTTAAAAGGCAACAGTTAGAGGAGTTTCCAGTTTATTCACTGTAAGAATGAGTTGGAACAAGGAAGAATTTGAATATGGGTCAAATTGAAATCAGAAGTTATAAAAAGTACTTATTAATATATACCTCATAATATTAAATAATTAAATAATCTGAATGTTCCTGGGTTTATTTATATAGCATAAGGAATACTAACCAATGGTGTACTGCAAAATTGATGATGTGCATATGTATGAGGAGTTTATAAAAAAATGGGAAAATCAAATCATAAAATACTTTTTACAGAACATTTAATTTTATTAAATTTTACATACAGGAAATCATACCTATCAATATTTTAATTACTATTTCTTGATTTTTACGAAGTGCATTGTTGTTCACATTTAACATCTTTGAAACGAGGCTGTCTTATATTAGGTGACATCTTACTCTGGTATTGTTAAAGTGGCAGTGGAGTCATGGCCAGTGCACAAACATTCTGAGGTTCTGATGATTAGTCTCCATTCCTTGAAATTTCAACCAGCAAACCATTTAGGTCTATTAGAAAAAAGAATATAGCTCCTGTTGTTATCAAAGTATCTTCTATAGATATGATACGTTAAGAGCAAGAAAGCATCAGTGACCAAACTTCCAATATAATGGCATAAGAAGCTTGGAAGAAATGCCTAAAGACAGTCATAGGGCACTCTGAAGAAATGTGAATCTATAATGCTTTTGATAGCCTGGGGGATGGATGATAATGGTGTTCTTGGTAGGCCAGGAGGTGATATCTCAACATCATCGCACATTGAGTTGAAAGTAATTTTTCAAAAGTCTTAGTCTGATTGTGAAAAGATTTGGAAATATTTAAACAAGGTAAAAGTTTTTAGTTGTTTCTCTTAGTACATGATTGTACATATAATTTTAATACAACATTAAGCTATTATTTCTAACTATATGAGACATGTTATGGGCATACACACATATTACTTAAACACTAGCATAATATTCACCAGCGTGTTTACTATAGTTTATTCTGGTGTGAGAATTGTGGTTGATCTGCTTTTCTTTACTGTCTTTTTTTTTTTTTTTTTTTTAATTTTTTTGTATTCTGAATTCCAGGCCACATTCTGCCTTTACGTTTCTCTTATTGCACTGCGACCAAGTATCCTTTTTGTAGTCTACTTAATGCCTTGTTTTTCACATTTTTGTGCAATTTGTTGGAGATTGGCTATTTAAAATGGCCCCAAATTGTTGCTGAAATGCAATCTGGTATTCCCCAGTGCACGTATGCTGCGATGTGTCTCTTGAAGTACTTGTGTTAGATAAGCTTTGTTAAGGCATGAGTTACAGTGCTGCTGATTTTCAGTGCCATGTGAATGAATCAACAATATATATCAAGCAGAGTGTCTTTAAGTAGAAACACACATCAAACACAAATAGTTATGTATTGATTGATATGATCTAGTAGAAATCTAATCCCATATTTCTCCTATGAACAATGGTTCAGTATTCACAAACAATATTTAGGAAAATTTTCTGGAATACACTCTATGAAAAATGAGAATTAGTGTTCTGTAATATCAAATTAAACAGTCTGTGATCATGTGAATGTAAAATTATAATAAAAAAAATTTCAAAACTATAATAAAAACATATTTCCAAAATACATATAAATGAGTAATATGAATGAAAATATATGCATATAATGTAGAGAAATACTTAACATTTATTACATATATTTAATAAATTATTTTTAAATTGCACATATTTGGCCTGTACATTTATATAATCAAAATTTTATATACAATATAAAATAATTCATATGTTACATACAAGTTGAGGGATGCATAAACAAATACATATATCATAAAAGTGTAAATAAAATTAAATTGAAAAACATTACATAATTAAAAATAGTTGTCCCTTGGTAAAGAGTGAATTATATTGTCAGCAAAGGTCAGAGGAGGTTATCAGATTAAAAATGTCTGTTATTTTCTGAAGCCTCTAAAATTACCCAGCATTTGTAGAATTACACACTTAACCGTATGTAGATTACTAAGCTAAGCTAAGCACAGTAGTGTTTTAATCGTTACATTACTTTTGTGAAGTCAATATTCATGCAAATTTTAAGATTAGAGTTTTAAAAGTTATTTTTACTACATTAGGTGTAATATATAAAATTTGAGAGAAGTGAAAGAATCGGATACTTTTTTGTTCACGTACAATTTTTTTAAAGTCCCATTGTTACCCATTTCAATGAGCTATGTTTTTATCATATTAAGAAAGGCAACAACAATTATAGGTGATATTTGTTCAGGACATTACTTATGCTATATACTTTATTCTGTCAGTCCTCCTAATTACCTTGGAAAGTAAATACAGTATGAAAGAGCAGACTTAGAACTTTATTATTTTACTAGATATTACTAAATAAGTGACATAGCCAATATACTAAGTTTTCAAAGTCTTTATGCTTAATCTTCATGCTACAACATAAAGCCAGCAGAAAAATTAGGCTTAAATGGCCTACAAATTAGACCTGTAATTCCCTATTAACCTAGAAGTTTAGAAAACTAAATATGATTGAACTCAAGCATTTGTGTCTAAAAATTTATATATGTGTGTATGTAATTATGTATGTACTGTATATATATAATTAATTTGTATATGTAATTATGTGTAGGTTTCCTCCACTACTTTGCATTGTTTTATAGGAACCCACTAACTGCAGTGTTTTAGAGGATCTGTATGTTTAAATTATTTTTATATAAGAATGATATATTAGCATAAGGTGTGTTATAAATACTAAGAATCAAATTGGTGAAATTTATACTAGTGCTAACAACTGTTCATTGTGAATCTCCATGAACCCCTTCACTTTTTTGTGGGCATAATTTCCTGTGTGTAAAATGAAAACTCTAACATCATTGTGGTGTATTACTTTAAATATGTGTACTTGTGTCATAATTTGCAGATTAATGAATTACAATATTCAAATTGACATTATGATTTAACAATGAAAATTAGGATTTAGAATTGTTACTTATCCTTCTGGAAAAGACTGAAAAATGAATCATCCAATTTTATTTCTAAGTTTTAACTATAGCAAATGTGATAAAACTACAAAAGTTTCAACTCATGAATTAGTAATGAATGATAGTTTAATTTCCTTTATGCAAGCAGGAAAATTGCAGAGAGAGAGATCTTTAAGCCTCATAACTGTTTTTACGCTCGTGGTACAGTAAAGAGTAGTTTACTATGAAGATGTATTTTGATATTTCTTCAATATTTCTCTAGATTTTTTTATTTTCATATAAAATTTAGATACATTAAAATAGAACTATAAAATTTATTAATATATAGATTCAGATTCTTTAGATAATTTAAAAAGGCCAATTTTCATTTGAGCTTTTCTAACCGACACTAACAATATGTATATGTACATGTATTTGTAAGCGTATATATACATATCATATATATCTACATATACACACACATTTTAGTACTGGGAATTGAACCAAGGACCTTGTGCATGTTAGGCAAGTGTTCTACCATTGAGCTAGCCAGTCTTATTATTATACATTTTAAAAGATATTATTTTTAGTGCTCATGTGTTGTGAAGTGATGACCAAGGAGAAATAAGCCTATCATCTTCAAATCGGTTAGATAGATAGATAGATAGATAGATAGATAGATAGATAGATAGATAATTGTTTCCAGGGAAGCAAAAAATAGTTACAAAAAGCAGATTGTAAACATGCTGAAGACATAACAACTTTTTCAAAATAATTTTATCAGGTGGTGGTACTTTGGGTTGATTTTAGCAATCTTAGCAGCTGCAAGATAGTAATTTAATGAAGTAGTTTTGCCTTGATGACCATGACTGTCCAAGACCTACTTGTGTGCATTAGTTATCTTTGCTTAAAGATTTCTTTTGGCCTTTTCAGTAGTTTCCTTGACATTTTGCTAGGCTTCTAAGCATAGAAACTTATCCCTGTGTTAGCTTTCTGTCATCATGACAAAGTATCTAAGAAAAGTCAACTTTAAAAAAGTGAAAGATTATTTTGGCTCATGATTTCAGAGGTTTTAGCCCATGTTAGATTGACTGTTGATTTAGGCACATGGCAAGGTAGAATATCATGGCAGGGAGCTCAGCTCATGGTGGGGTAAAGCTGCTCACCTCATGGTGGTTGGGAAGAAGTCAGAGAGAAGAGGGAGAGAGAGAGGCCTTAATACTCCCTTTAAGAGCCTACCCATAGTGATTTAATCTTTTCCCCACTTGGCCCCACTTAAAATTCCAACCACCTTCCAGTAGAGTCACATGCTGGAGACAAAGCCTTTAACACATGAGCCTTTGTAGGACATTTAAGATCCAATCATAACAATCCTTATGGAGAGAATTTTTCAAGATATTTCCTTAATGTTTTAGAAATTAAATTCTATTATCTTTCTCTTTAAGAATATTGTAGATGCAGAGAAAATATAATAAAAGTACCTAGTTCTTTTGCTAGTTTTTCTCCCTGAATCTGTCACCTAGTAGTCTCATTTTTAATTCTATTTATATTACTTTTAGAATCAGCAGTAATTGCTGAAATCCAGTTACTGACATTATTATTTTACCTAAGTCAAGTGTCTCAAAATCTCTGAAATTTGTCTCATTTAAAAAATAGACAAAATATCTTAAGGGTTTCTGGGAAAACTAAACTGAACAAATACTAGAGATAATAAGTGCTTAGCATAATAAGTACTCAATATTTACTGAGCTCGATCTCTTTATCCACTTTTATATAACTGTAAATTGTCTTTTAGGTTAATTTGAACACCATACAGATAAGTTAATAAAAGGCAATTTGAACTTTTGAAAATATTCTATTTAATTAATGCTGTTATATCTAGAGCCATGCTCTGTGTGTGTGTGTGTGTGTATTTGGTCAGGTATTATAACTTACTATACTTTATTGTATATTCTTGAAAAAATCAGTGATTTGCATTTCTCGTATCGTGTTTTTACATACACTGGTAACATAGTCATTTATTCTCCTTATCAAGTATAGCATATCATGTGCAGCTGCATGTGCTGTACTTTGATGTGACCGACAGTAAAGGGGTGCTCATGCCTGCAGGACCAGACTTGTGAGTAACATGGTGCACAAAGCTGTTACAACAGCTACCTTGTTACTGGGCAATAGGAATTTTTCAGTTCCATTATTATTCACTGGACCATAATCCTATATCCTTTAACATTTTTAAAATTTCAAGTTACAAAGCATTTCTTTCCACCAGTAGTTTCTAATAGAACAAAAAGCATATTTGTCATTTGTATCATGTTCTTCTGAAACGTTAACTTGAGATTGTCTTTTTAAAAAGCTATTTCTCACTGTATGCATATACAATGTATGTGAAACATATGTAAAAAGAGAAAAATAGGGTAAAAGAAAAAATTCTTTTTCTCTTAACCATGGTGGCAAATGAAGGTTTTATTGAATAATTTTAAATGCCGAATTACAATTTTTTTACCTTTTCCATATTACCAAAAAATTACATAACTGAAAGAAAAAAATACTACCAAAGACCACTAGTGAAAAATCACAATATAAAAAAGTGTTTATAATTATATCTGATTTGTAAGGTTATAGTATTTGAATTAATCAGAAATATATGGATAGAGAACAATAATGAAGGAAAATATGAAAAATTATTAATGACCATTAGAATAGTGCTTTTGTCATTTTGGGATTTTTTTTCTTGGTTTTCTAATATTGTATTATAGAGATTAGCATCCTGCAACCTTTTTTGGGGGGGAGTAAAGAATGAAGTTATGATTCTTTATTTCAACAAATTAAAAAAATCTGTCTCCCGCAACAAACAAACAAAAACAAAAATTCAGGCTTGTTTGTAAATAAAATTTTACTAGAACAGTTATTCCCATTTAAAAAAAAATCAATGGCTACTTTTTTGATAAATCTGTCCAGTGGAATAGTTACAGAAATAATATTGGTAACAAAAGCTAAAATATTTATTTTCTGGACCTTTACAGCAAAAAAATTGCAGATCCTTGTTATATCATATAATTAAATTTATGTATAAATAAAATGAAATAGAATATTATTGTTGATATCAAAGTAGGAAGATAGACCTACGATTTGTGACATGTGGATGAACCTGGAGAACATTATGCTAAATGAAATAGGCCAGATACGAAAAGAAAGGAGATGCTGTATGACCTCACTGGTGTGTAGAATCTAAAAAAGTTGAATTCATAGAAGCACTGAGTAGAACAATATTTCTACAGTTAAGGGTAGGTAGTAAAAATAAGAAGCTGTTTTCAAAGGAGTACAAACTTGAAATTATACAGATATTAAGTCTGGAGTTTTAATGAACAGCATGAAGACTAGTTAATACTGTATGCATATTGGAAATTTTCTAAGAAAGTAGATTTCAGTTGTTCTCCCAACAGTAAAGAAAAATAGTAACTACGTGAAGAGATGGAAATGTTAATTAAATTGCAGATAGTAATCTTTTCACTCTGTATGTATATATCAAACATTATGTTTAAATATGTGCAATTTTTATTTAAAAATAGCAGGTTAGAACCATATCTGCAGTCATCAATAAAGGGAATAATGGAAAGCAATAGAAAAGACAATAGACCAAATCACAGGCTAGGTTTTCTGAAGGCAAGTGCCAAAATTAACTTTTATTAACTTATTTTAAACATTACCATGCCAATAAAAATATAGCTTCTGCATTCGAATTGAAAGATAACCACAAATGGAATGAAAATGGTATAAAGAAGGTAACTGAGAAACATTAGCAACTGTATTGCTTTCAAGAGCTAAGTGAGCAGCCATTAATGCACCAAAAAGAATTATGTAAGAGAACTAAGATATGTTTGATTTAATTCCTGTGAGTTCAGATGTATTTGGTTATATGTTATTTTCTTCCACAGGATAGTGGTTGTTCTATACTTCACAGCCGGCAGTTATGTGTTCTTAGGCATATCCATAACAAAAGTCTCTGTGCCCCTCAACAAACATATTATGGTTGGGGCTGGGAGAATTTCAGTGCAATGAAAATACATAAAATGTTTGTCAAAAAAATAGTAAATAGCATCTGTTTTGGAAATGCATTAAAATTATTATAATTCTGTGGAATTATATAATTTCTAATACTATAGGTTTAAAACAAGATGCAATAAGAAATGATTTTGAGTATTCTCAATTATTAAAAGTGGAAAAATTCTAAAATAAGCTTAATTCTTTATAATTCATCAGATTTAATACATGATCTTTTGTATACTTTATGCCAAAAATCCTAAAGTTAGCATTTTGGATTAAGAAATTATTTTACTTTGTTTTATTCCAGTTCCATTTTCCTTGTATTTGAAAATAAAATTGAGATAACTTTTGCTGTTTGTTTGGTACTTCAGTTTTTATTTAAATTCTTAACTTCTCTTTGAGTAATTTTTGTTCCCATAAACAGATGAAATGTTTTCAGTTTTTAGCTCATTGCAAAGTCATATATCTTACATCATTTTTCTGTGAATTTCTGATAATTTTCTGAGTACAACAGTATTACAAATACTTATGAAAAATCATACTGTCATTATTACTGGACAGTGTTCTTTTAGTAATCAATGAGTGATATACAAAAATGGAAATAAAATTTAAACTGTTCTTTATTTTTTTTGTATAGGTTACTTGAATTTCAAATAAAGGATCAGTAATGCCACCAACGCCAGCTACCCCGCCTCAGTACCCACCTCCTGATGGAGGGTGGGGCTGGGTAGTAGTCGGAGCTGCCTTTATATCCATTGGATTTTCGTATGCATTCCCCAAAGCAGTCACAGTATTCTTCAAAGACATTCAGGAAATATTCAACACTTCCTACAGTGAAATAGCCTGGATATCATCCATAATGCTAGCTGTTATGTATGCAGGAGGTAAGATTCTTGGAATAAGTAGAATTCTGGATTAACAAGACAGTTGCATCATGCCATATGTTTTTCATGCATGGTCTTGGTATATGAAAGCCCTGTTTTCATATTACAGTCTGTCAGAGGAATAATTAGAAATTAATTTTTAATAATTAACATCTTGAGCTATTCACTTCATTTTTATTTTTAATATAGTATTTATTTGTACAACCCAAAATATAGAATTATAGAATTTCCAAGTGAGTCACTTTTCCATTTAATTTAAAATGAAGGGTACATTATAGTGTTAGTGTCATTTTTTACTATTGCTGTAGCTAACAGAAATGCTTTCTTCTGAATAAGAAAGAAACTTAAATTGCTGATAATTTATAAGCCCAGAAAATACATTATATTATACAGTTAACATGGAGTGCTGTCATATACGTTTTGGACTCATTCAAATTTCAAGTGAACTAATTCCTTATTGCCGTAGGGTTTACTAAATGGTGACATCTTTCTGTGTAAATGGTTTTCAGATGATTACTTTGTTACATTGTATGTTAAAATGAAGGTGTTAGTCATGAGGGATAATGAATACATCAGAGTACCATCTGACTTCTAAATAGTTTTAAAAAATAGAATTCATGCATTATTATGTGACCTATCATCTTTACATCAGTTTTGACAGGTGACAGGACTGTCATATATTTTTTTACAAGTCCTTTTTTAAAATATATGGATTTTATACTTTCAAATTTTTTTCAACTGGATATTCCATTTCAAGGGACAGTTATGGACTCCGAATATAAGAATTTTTAAAATTACGTAAATTTTCTAGTGTCTTTTTTTGTTTTACAAGTAAAGATAACATGGTTTTAGTGAAGGATATAAAGCATTGGTAATTACATACAATATTTGTTAGTATTTAGTTTCATTCATGACCGCTCTGTACTTGATCTGTGTGATATGACTTAACCCTCTCAACAACCTGTGAAATAAGTGTTATCTTCTCTCTATTCTGAAGAAATAGAGATAAAATGCTTTCCCAAGTCAGACAACTCATTAGTGGCAGATAAAAATTAAAACTTAAAATATTTAATCACTATGCTATCTGCCTGTCTTCCTCTTTACGTCTAGAAAATGACAGAGCCAGCTCTAAACCAGGCCTTCTGCTAACCTGATGCAGTGCTCTTTCCTTACAGTATAGTGCCATGCATACTACCTCTGCCAAGGTTATTTGATCAGTGACATTTAAGTTGTTCTGTCTTTGTTGCACTACCAAAGAAAAATGTGAGGCTGAGATATGTGTGTGCATGATGTTAGTGTTTGTAATTATTTTGTTTATAAATTATTTTTAATTAATACAGCATAGGATTGGTTAATCTGATATTTTTATTTTAATAGCACAAAGTATCTTTAAAACACTGTGGGTACATCAATGCAAAATTCTGCATTATATCCTTTTTAAGAATCTCTTTTGAATAATTGCCTTACGGATCGTAACAATTTTTTTCTTATGATTATATAGAAAGTAGATATTGTGCAGAGGAATTGCTGTTCTATTCTGTGGGTTAGGTGTTTTTAAATAGTACTTGGCTAAAGCAACAGACAAAGTCATCTTGACCTGAACTCCAAAAGCTATTAATGTTACGATCAGCCCTCACCCTTAAATACAACTAAAACAGACTTCTCTAGTGATGTGATATAGATTGACTGAATTAGATTTCAAATCCTATTAATGTTCAAAATTTTCTGTTGAGCAGATTGCTGATTAAGTCATAGGTAAGAAAAAAATTAATATGACTATTTAGGTAAGTCCATTGTTATTCTACTTCTCTTTTAGCATAAAAATTCCAAACCTCTATGGCAAAAAGCAGTATAACTTTATTTGTTGCTCTAGCTATATTTTGTCTAGTGGCTATGCCATCACCCAAGGTGCTATTCCCCAAATCTGCTCCATCTGCTGGACGAAGAATGAACATAGACTGTGAGGAAGATCATGTGGAATAATTGAGAGTTCAGGCCTGAAAGGAATAAACTTCATTTCTCCCTCCCCTGGAGGGCGAAAAACTTGGCTACTCAACACACAGCCAAAATCTCCTATCACACTCCCCACCAGGTCGAGTCCTTTCTGACTCCTCTTGTGAAAGAGCCCTGGCTGTCTGCTGGGGGAAGTCCACTACTCTGAAGGCCAATCCTACTTACCCCAGGGTCCTGGAGTTACCATCTTATCAGGCCTGTCTGGAAAAATCAATGGCTCACTAACTTGGGAAATCTGCCCAGCTATTAATAACCATCAGTTTAGTCTTGTGTTTATAAATCTAGCAGTTTGAGGAGTAAAGTGAAGTATTGGTGTACAAAGATTTTTTTCTCCCTAAAGCACCTTCATTGTTGGGAGAGGCTATTGTTGTCAATAAGTAAAGAACACACTTCTCTGAAAAAGATACAGAGATCAAAAAGAGTTGCCAGAAATTAAAAACATCATGACAAAGTAAAAATTCCTCAGAGAGACCAAATGTTGGGATGGCTAGAATTCAAAACCAAGGTGGTGGTTAGGAAAACAATCAGAAGAAAATATACCAAAACGGCCAGGAAATATTGTCTTCTCAGCATCAAAACACATCACAAAACCACAGTAACTAAGTCATCTTGAAGTCAATACTGGCTGGAATAAACAAATAGATACATAGGGCATAACAAGCCTGATGCCAAACTAATAATTTGTCAAGTAACTCCTCATTAGACACCTGGCTTTGCAATGTGAAAAACATGAAGGTAAGTCCCCATCTAGCACCACAATTAAAAATAAATTCAAATTGAATTAAGTTAAAAAAAATAAAAAACTTCATTTCTGCCACACATTCCACTGGTCAGAACTCTTACATTGCCCTACCGAGATACAGGGGCAATAGGAAATGCAGCTTTCTTAAAGGAAAAATCAGCCAGAACTGGATATCATCCACCCAATACTACATAAAACTTTATACCTCTATAATTCTTCACCAGCATCAGAAGCAAAATGTGTTTACAGATGTGCCTTCCATGACTTGGCATAGATCCAAACAGAACATTAGAATGATAAATACTCCTCAATCTAATTTAATTTTCTCAGAAAACTAAATCTCAATATGAAATTACAATAAGTAAATACTCATACTAGATTTATTGTAAATAAATGATCATTTTATTGAAACATTTTGTTTTTTAGATATATACAGTATAAATTTGAAAAGACAAATAGAACTGTTGAAATTCATAAATAAAAATGGTAGTTTTATATTTATAAATTTGGAAAAAATTACCTTAAAATGCTTAGGATTGTAGATTGATAAAATATGTTTACATTAAAGATTGACAAGTATTTAGTATCTGGTTCTTTTAAGAAATCAATGCTAGACACACAGACATACTTATTGTATAGTAACTGAGTATGGTAATATGTACGTCAAGCCAAGAACTTGGAAAATTGCCCAAAGCCCTCATTTGATAGGGCTAAAACATTTCACATGTCATCCATGACCATGGAGGAAAGTTAAGAATAGCAGAAATTGTTATACATTGATCTTCCTCATAAAACTAGAAATGTAATTCTAGGCCCCTTTCCTGTGGGACAGAAAAGCAAACTGTCACATTCACTATTGGATGTAGATCTTAGACATTTACATGGCTTGTTGAAAATAATATCTATAGACACCCTGCTGAGGTCCCCAGTCGCGTGGAACACACGCCGAATCAGCCCACTGCAGAGAGGCAGGTCTGTGCATGCCCTACCGAGGTCGTGAGTCATGCGGAAGACACCGAATCACCCCACTGCAGACAGGAAGCCACCTGATTCCACATTACAAAGGCACAGAGGACACCGGACCACCAGACCAAGGTACTGAGTCCCACTGTTCCCGGCCCAGAGGTAGGGGCTTCTGAGCCGTCGTCCCACTGATCCTGGCCCAGAGAAAGGGGCTTCTGGGCCACCATCCCTCCCACCACTCCCGGGCCAGAGGGAGGGGCTTCTGAGCCACCATCCCACTGCTCCTGGTCCAGAGGAAGGGGTTTCCCAGCCACCATCCCTCTGGCTGCTCCCAGCCCACAGGAAAGGGCTTTTGGGTCACCATCCCTACTGCTGCTTCCGGCCCCTGGCCCACCTCACCCACCTCAGAGGAGGTAATCTGTGCAGGCGCTAACAGCCCCCCACCCCAGTCGAAATGAGAAAACACATAAATAAGTCTCAAAACCAGACTTCCAGATCACCTATAGCAACCCCAAAGGGAAATGAGATGGAAC